AGCGGAACTAATATACCACGTGATGTCAGTTTCTCACTTAATTCTTCAACAAATACTATCTTTTCAGAGAAATGCCTTTTGAATCTGTTTCTTTAGAAATGCCGGTGCAGCCATCACAGTGGGGTATGCTCTTTTTCAGATGGGTGGGGGGGGAACTGACAGTGACACAAATGCAGTTCTCACATGAGTAAATAGAGTAGACTGTCACTCACAACCTAATAGGAAAAGCCACTTAAGGATTTAGAATTCCTTTGCCCTTACTGAGATCAAAGACCTGTAATTAGAGGCTGAGAGCTCACATACAAAGTAGTAAAAGCAATTGATAAGCTTGCATGTGAATGGAAAATTATCGCAGCCTTTAAAAGAGATTAGCTGAGGGAACAAAAGGCAGCACCAAGAGGATCAAATACGACAAAATCAAACTTGTAGAGTCTTATGTTTCAGCAACGGAATTTATTTTGGGGATAACTTTTGATTCTAAGTTAATTTCATCTGTTGATTTTTTTTTTCCCCCATGTTGCTTTTAGGAGCTAGAGCAGTGATTCTAAACCAGGGTGCTGGGGCTGCCTTTAGATCCTTTCAGGGTTGTTGCAGGCTGCCACACAATGTTAGCATTGCTAGGTGTGCAGATACGATTCACAAGATGAACCTGGAGATTTCAAAGAAGAATCCATAGTGTTAAAAACATTTCTGATCTGCTGTGGTCTTTTTGAGTTCTTTGCAACTGAATTGCTCTATTTATTTCTGTAGTTGAAAAACGAGTAAAAACTAAGCTGGCATTTTTCAAGGGGTGCCTTGAGGTTAAGAACCACTGAGCTAGAGCATAATTGGCCCCTGAAGTCTTGTTTTAAGGCATTTTTATAAATAACCTTTTTTTAACAGATTGTTTCTTAATGAGAACCATTAATGGAATAAGCAGAGCAGTTCCTGAGGAATTTTACTGGTGTTCGTATTATACCCCTTGTCCTCATGGATGCCCAAGTGTCTTACAAATAGCATATAGCATGTCTACCCCAAAGTGCTAGCTTCTTGCAGTGGCATAGTGGGAGATATTGCAGCGCATAGCAACTCATTTCTAAGCCAGATGCCCCATGGCAGTGCTGCTGAGCCGAGGGAGCTTTCGGGCCTAACATTTGCTCCATGAATTTATTCAGAGTTGAGGTTGAGGAGACCATGCATGTGCCCTGCGTGTTGATGCATGTCTAGCAGCAGCATCATAACACAAGTGAGGGAATGGCAGAAGGAGGGGATGCCGGTGCTCCGCCCATCCGTCTGTGGGTGCGACGGGTAGGCGTTTACTGCGATGAACGCCGAAAAACATGGCTTGTGGCTGTGGCAGAGGCAAGTGTCTTTCAAGCTTCCCAGTGACCGTACCTTTGTTGTGGTAGATGCCATTACTGGATTACTAATAACTGCCCGCTTTTGTTTTGTGTACTTTCCCCTAGGAAGAGGGTACGCTGAGGGCCCGGATCCGAAGAGTTCAGGTTCCCCTGGGTGAGGCACTGCGGCCCAGCCAGCTCCCCCCATCCCAGCTGCCTCATATGTGGCAGCTGTCCCTGAGTGAGCAGTACAGGGATAGTAACTCTCGCATTTGGGAGATAGAGCACCATCTAATGGTAAGGATGGTGGCAAAACTGAAAGCTTAGTTATTCAAGTTCGGGAAGTGATATGAGGTTCTTAAGGGAAGATGCTAGGACAAGGGAAAGTGTTCTTATAAATATTTCATTGCACTGTATTACTCTTGGTTACAGTGGTTTATATGCATTGAACTTTTCCTGGTTGGTTCCAGATTGGGGGAGTTGAAGAGCTGCTGCTTAGACTTATGCCTGGTGATTAATCTGGTAAGTATTTGAGATTTCCATTCTTTCTTACTCTTCCTCCCCGTGTGTGCTAGTTCTTTAATATTGATTTTTGTCTTTCAGGAGTGGTTACTCTAGGAAGATGCTCTTGTATGTTTTATACAATATATGGTTCTCCCATCACTGAACTGCAGCCACCTCTGAGGTGGAAGCTGTTTAACAACATACAGCAACACCACACAAGATCTTAGAACAGGCAGTGAAGAAGAAGATTGTGGAACTACAGGGGGAGCTTTAGGTAGGCAGAATGCAATTCCCTCAGCTGGAGTTTGGCCAGGATGTTGGGATAATGCCCCAGTTGCTTTGAACCGTGCAATAGGCTAATTTATGACCATGAGTGGTAAGAATTGTGTCTTGATGTCATACTTGGGAAGCAGCACCTCTAGCACCACACCATCCCCTAGTCCTGTACAGGCCTGTTGACTAAGCTCTGGCTCAGAAGGAAAATTGAGGCCCCCAATGCTACTTTCCACAGCATCTGTGTTTTCCATAGATGTGGTCTCTCAAACTAATAAATCTGACCCAGCTCTGCTTCTTTTTTGATCTCTAGGAAGATTAGGACTCAAGGGGTCTTGCTGCAGAAAGGTCACATTGGGTGTCTAAAATCCTGCCTGAAAGGGGTTGGAGGAGTGGTTTGGTCTTTTGGTGGGGGAGGGGTGGGAGGGGAAGGGTTGGTAGATAGCTTTCATCTCCAAGATTCTTTCTAAAAATTGTGTTGTTCTTACAGGACCTACACAAACTGCTTTTATTTTTTAAATTCCTTCTCCAGATCCAGTGGTAGGACAAATACTAGCTGTGCAGACCATCTCAGAAATGATAGTACTTAAAGAAATGTATTAGCATAATAGGGTCTAAAAGCAATGAACTATTTAAAAAAACAGGCACATTTATTAGATTTGTGGGGTCCAACTTTTTTGGCAGGTGTGCTACAAGGTAAGCCCTGCACCCTCTCTGAGTGCCACTCTGATCCACTTTCCCTGCCTGCTGTGCTTTCTGCCCTGTACTCCCTGCCTGATCTGTTGCTTGGCTTTCTGCTTTGTGCCTGATCTGACCCTGTGTTCCCTCTCCAGTCTGCTGTGTGCCACACACACTGGTGGCTCATGCCATTTATAGCATCTGTGTCACTGGTTAGCCACTCCTGCATTAGAATCTGCCTTCAGAATCTGATTCGGCATGTATTCAGTATTTTCAAAATGTGGGGAAACCTTCCTCCATCCCTCCCCCAAAAAGAAAATAAAAAAAACCCTACTCCTAGTTCTGATCAGTAAAAAAAAAAAAGGAAAAGATGTTCATGTTTTCCAAGATTAAATCTTCAAGATCTCATTGTCCCCTTTTCCTTCCTTGGCTAATGTTAGGTATTCACAATGATACTCCAGTACTGAAAGCATGTTTAAAATATTATTACTCCCTGGGCATCTGAGGGACAGGAGTGCTGTGAAGAGACTGTGCAGAGATTGTGAGGGTGAAGGATTCTTTGTGTATCTCTGCAGTGGCTGCGAGGCTGCAATAGACTGGCTCTGAACTGAGGCCCATCCAGCTGTCTACAGTGGTATACAGGCAGGGAAAAGAAGCTCCAGAGAGTCCTAGACTCAGACAGTAACTTGCCCACCCTATAGAGAAAGCCTTAGCCCCCTACTCTTTCTACAGTAACATTTTCCTATCATTTTAGTTCTCTGGAAATGCCCCAGAAGGATCCTTGCCAGAAACAAGCCTGTGAAATACAGAAATGCTTGCAAGGTACCATGTGTAATTTTGTCCTTTTGATGTCATTTTTTCCCCTTTTTTTAAAAAATGTAACCCCATTTTTTTTCTTACCAAGATGGAGAAATCAAAAAACAATACCATGACCTAGCTGAAAATGAAATGTAGTTAAGATATTAACTTTGAATACCTTTTATTACATTTGATTTTATGTATGGAGATGCCGCAAATTGAAAACAGTGTTTATAACAATAGAGGTTCTCCACATGTGAAGGTACCTATACAAAGTGGAGATAGAAAGAACATATGATGTGGTAGTATGAACTTGTCTTAGCATGAGTTTGGGATGGGTGTATTACTCTCACAAAGCACAAAAAAAGCCCATTGACTTGCTAAAAGACCTTGAAGAGGTCAAATAAATTATTCTTCCTGTGCCTGGATGGTTTGGTAACAAGAAAAGACCTTAATCTATGGCCATTCATGTTATCCTTATGAAGAGTGTTCTGAGCTTTTATTGAAAATAACAAGCGTGTATTAAGGTCTGTCCCCACTGTGATTAAGTTTGCTTTACTATGTGCTTCAGGAATGTCAGAGTGCCACTACTGAAAAAAAATCTGGCCCAGCCTGGTAATGGTTACCTTGTAGCTACAGCTGGAAGGTAGATTAAGGGTGTCTGTACTGAATGAAAAACTTGGTTCTGTCAACTATGAGGTTGCTCTTGTAAGTGAGTCTTAGGGTGGAGATTCAAGTACAGGGATGGCTTTGCAGTTCCTGCTACTTTACACTAACAACTGCAAAACTAATGTTCCAAGTCTCTTAAGGTTAGGTTGAGGCTATGCTGGAGATGATACTGACCTCTAGTGGTTATTCAAAAAACATTGGCAATAAAAAATCTCATTCTCATTGGTAGAAGGTGTAGGCAAAAGCAGAGAATCAAAACCAGTAAGAGCCCAGTCAGTGCTCGGTTTGTGGTAGGTGTTTGTCAGACTGTCCCTCAAGTTGTGAAAGCTGTGAAGAGTAGCAGTGCCTGAGGCAACAAAACCATTCAAGTACCCTTAACCTCCACTTAATTTATTTTCAAACCCACGTGTGTTCCAGGTACTTTGTGTGTACATAACTGTTTCACTGTCTCCCTCTTGGCTTTGTTGAGGGGCTATGTGGCCATGTCCAGAAGTCTCTTGGTGTTAACTGTTGCCGTAAAGTACTGTTTGACTCCCTAGCTGCCATGAGTATAATTTTCACAGCGCTGCTTGAGGCATTCCAAACTGCCAATCCTTGGCTTGGTGTACAAATCTGGTCAAATGGGGGATTTGACACATTCTTCATGCTAGGTGAAAATGGGTTAAGAAGCAAGTCCAAAATCTATGGTTGCTTGTATTACGTAGAAATAGCTGTAGAGCATGCAGTAAAAGCAGCAGTAAAATGTGTCACTGGTGGAGCATCTTGGAAATCCAGATGAAGACATAAGGAAATTTAACTTTCTTCCCAATGAACAGTTGCAGAGGACCACAGGCTGACATCCTTCCCTTATAGGGAGGTTGTTTACTGGCAGGTGATACTGAGCTGTAGGTATTTTGAGCTCATTGGGACTCACTGGTCTTCTTGCTTTCCCAAAGCCTGAGAGAGCCATAGATGTGAACAAGAACAAACTGGGCAAGACCCCTTCTAGAGAAGCTGGAAGGGATGCTCCCTCATAAAAGGATGCATCAGAGAACTGGTCTCATCTTGTCAGTTCGCCCTGTGACAAGAGTGGTGAGGAGATGACTGCTCTCATCAGCTGGGTTACCTTGGCAACATTCGGTAGTTTCAAGTGGTACAAAATGCAGAAGCATCTCCATGTCCCTCTACCTCCTCACTGGGTACTTCTGTTCTTTGTATTATATTTTGCTTATAAACCCAGTCCAGGAATTCATACCACAGAAGTCATACATGAGTGGCTTGCTTTTGTACCAGAAAGTTTTTGAGGACTTATTTTGGACTCTCCAATGTTGACCTTGTCTCTCCCATACTGGGTCACTGTTTTTTCTTTTTAGGTTTTAAAAACCTTTTATCACTGGCTACCTCAGATCTTTGAAGGCAAATGAAAGGAACCCTGAGGGGTCACTGAGTCCCCTGGCCTGGTATGCCTCCTGCAAGTAGGGAAGTTGTTAGTAGTAGCATCAGTGTCCCACTGATGGCAAGATCTGCTTAGTTATGCAGGGAATTGTGACACAGTTTTCACTGATGTGGGCAGCCTGCCTTGTAAAGTACCATGGGATGTTACAGTATCAAATAGCTGTGCTGCCAAGGGATGTAAAGAGAAAAGGTGGTATTGGATAAACTTCTGCTGAGGTTGTGATTGCTCAACACTGGGGCATTATGGCTTCCATGAAAGCCACAGCTGGCAATGTTTCTTGTAGTCTGAGATCCGGCAAACTGGAAAGGAAGTAGAGGTCCGCGTGCCTGCACATAGGTACTACATATGATCCAAGAGCTGTATCTGTGCTTGAACAAAGAAGGTAGGTAACCACTAGGCACCTTGGATCTTATTGATGGTGCTCTGAGAAAAGCTTTCATGTGGGGTGAGCAGGACTTCTTGCTGGAGAGTGCCGAGACTGGGTCCCTTTCAGAGTTTTCAAAGTGGCTTTTTGAACTAATTTGACTGAAACAAGCCAAGCATCTCTTCACTTGTGTCATAGTCTCTGTCTGATGTTTATGATGTTTATGCTCACAGCATTTACAGGTGATGCTCCAAAGGAATGTGGAAAAGACTCATGGGTCAAAATGTCCAAGTGCAAGGCCAGCAAAAGGGAGCAGGGAGGAGGGGCAGGCTTATGCTAATAAGTGTGAAGTTCTCCAGCTACTTATATAAGTGATAGATGCAACACTAAGGGATAGCATGTATAATCATCTGTATTTCCCTTCTCTGAAGCAAGCTATTTTCACCTTCTCTTTTTACATATGACCAAGCAGTATTGACTGTGGCAGAACAGGTGTGGGAACCATGTGGGAAAACAGCCACAAGATAATGTAGCTCAGAAGCAGCGATCCACAGGGAGAAAGAACTTAATGACTGGGTGAGATGGCCCCCATATGGGTGGTTTGTGGCCTAGGGTAGGATCAGCATCTCCCTTCTCTTATTTTTCAGCCAACAACTATGTGGCATCTAAATGCGAGGCTGTGCTCCAAGAGATGCGAAGGTGCTGCGCCCGGTACCCCAAAGGCAGATCCATCTGCTGTTCAGGGTTTGAGAAAGAGGAAAGAGAGGGGGAGAAATTGAAAGTGGCTTCAGATGGAATTCACACAGCACAGCAGTGAAAAACTGCAGCTCCATCTCTGGCAGGCTATGGTGCATGGTCCTGCGAGTGACAAATACAAATAAACCTTCCAAGCTAAATGATGTTTGTTGAGGCTGGAGTGGAAGCTACTTCAAGGAATACAGCTGATAATGCTTTCTCCAGATTTATAAGGAAATAAGAGCCAGCCACAGAATAAAACATGCTGTGCAGAAACAAGTAAAATGCAATATGCCATAGCTTATTTAAAAGGTTCTCCACCTTCTGGACCAATGTATCAACTGTGTTATTTTAGAGAGCATTGTATGTGTGTGAAAACTGATTATTTTTATGCTTAATATACTGTATTCCATCATCAAAGAGAGAATGAAATCTAAACCTCAGCCAGGGTTTTGCCATCGGATGTCCGCAAAATAACTTCAAAAGCATTGGTTAAATGTGCTGCATAAAACAAGTCCATCTTCAAGCAGAAAAAAAAAGGCTGGATAGTAGTGTCTAGAGGACAATTACTTTTTTTTAGGTGATTTAAGGTCAAGTATGGGAATCAGATCTGGGTTTTCTTCCTAGGTCTGACATGATCCCTGCATGTGCCCATAAGTCACTTCACCTATGTGCCTCAATGCCCGCATTATTAAATGGGATGTTAATTACTTTTTGGATCACATTGCACAACTTTGCATGACAGTAAGGATGTTGCAGAAACATGTTATTTCAGGGATTGTTACAAGACTAGGGATTTTTTTAAAAAAAGCAATAGTCACTTTATAGAAAACAGGAGAGTTGGTAGAAAGTGGACTGTAGATAGCTGAGTGTAAAACACATCATCACTGAACAAACACCTCTTAAGCAGTGCAATATGCAATGAATTGCAGTGACTGCAGAACCCCTCTTCCCCAAATTCCATCATACAGTCCAATAAAGGATTTGGGTAGAACTGGGGTGCCTAAATCCAAAAATCAGAATGCTACATCAAATCAGGAGCCCTTCTTCTGTTTGACAGCAAAGTTCCTGGGCACTAGAGTTCTGCTTCTGTGCATGCCCAGAAATGTCTAAATCTGAGCCACTCAATGTCCATCTCCCACCCATGCTTGTTCAGAAGCTGGGGACTAAGCACTTCTTCATCTGAGCCTCGGTAGGGTTTTGATCCAATAGTTGTTAGCACAGCTAATACTGACAGGTTTGGGATCCCTATAATGTGCAGTTTGGGGCACTTTTAAGATATGGCAGAAAGACAGCTGTGCCCACTTCTTATACATCCTCATGTTGAAGGTTGTTGGGCAGGAGGTGGGACACCCAGGTGTAGTGTAAGGGGTTCAAGCCCACATCTCCCACTTCCCAGGGGAGTCATTAACTACAAGGTTCTTGATTATTCTGGGTGAGCGTATTGGTATTCTCCACTCCTCCTGTTGGAGCTGGGCCACCGTGCAGCAAAGAATTCAAGGCTAACTCTAAGTATCATTGCTGCTCTGAGGCACCTGCTGCTCCACTTTTGCTGTACAGAAAGCCTAAGCATTTAACTCAGGGTTTTGGATTCCTCTGTTGAGGCCTAGCACCTAAAAGTGAGGGTGTAGCAGCATCCTGCTTGCAGGCACTTAAGTGCTGCGATCCAGTATGACTTGAATATAAAATCTAAGTTATATATGACCTGTTTATTGTTCTTTCTACTTGTGGATATAACACGGGTGTATCAAAGTGTGAAAGAGGCAGATCTCTTTGTATTCACTACAAACAATGCCACAATACAAAATAAATTCCTGGAGCAAGCCAAGCCCTTGTTTTAAGCATTCTTTGTTGTTTAGATTAGAATATAACGGTAGCTTATGATGACAGCAGGTTGGGTCACCTTCACAATTCAGAATTGAATACTGGTTTTTAATGGAAGCTCTTTGGTGATGTTATAGGCAGAGCTTGTGATTAGAATCAATGCTCAACTGCTCACAGCAGAAATCCAGTTCAAGTTTTCTGTTTTTGGTCAAGAACAGGAGAAATGATGTAATCAAGTAGCATTGAACCTGCTCACTGGAAACTCGTATCTGTTCTGTTTCCCAGTCGGAGGATAGACGTGGTGCGCGCAGTTGTCTGAAATGCTTTTACAGGTAGGACTCTGCTTGCATTATGCCCGCTACAGAGTCTTCAGGACAAGTCACTTTCTCTTGTGCCCACTTCTGTTTGTTCTCCAGGGCACTGTGCAACAACTGTTTAGTGGGGAGGCTCTGAGCAAGCTTACAGAGGGGTCTCCGATTTCTTATCTTGGAGGCAAACAAGACAGAACCTTTGGCACTATCTCAGCATGTAAGCAACTGTCTGCCTGAATGAGGATCAACATGAAGGTAGAGAGGAGACCAGATTTGTTAAGGCAATGAACCTTTAATGTCCAGATCTACCCAGCCAGAAAGAAATGTTTGAATTCAAAGGACTCCCTTAGGTGGCTGTATGGAACTCTCAGACTGCCACCCTTCCGGAGGGAAGCTAGCTGACATTTGTTAGGAGCTTGGGGATGGAGCAGAAGATATTTGGAAGAACTCCCTCTACCAGTTAGAGGGAGTTAAATCCCCCACACAATTGCCTAGTGACTGGAACCCGCAACATAGGGCAGTGTTGTGTGCAAGGCCAACTGAACTAGCTACATTTAGCACACAGCTGAGGACTCCATGTTCAGCCCTCAATAGATATTCACTCCTACTTATGTCTTTCTTACGTCTCTCCTCTCACCCGCTACAGACCCTCCAAAATACTGATGTTCCTTAGCTGCTCTCCCTTAGGTTACTAGTGAGAGAGCATCTGCAGTGCAGGGCATGGAAAAGATTTTTGTTCCCAAGAAGTGAACAGACCCCACACTAATAATTAGAGCAAAACAGTTTAATAAAATATCACTTCAACAAGCATTTACAGATGATATACAAAAATTTTTTAAAGACTAATACATTCTTAAACTATAACTTACTGGAATTGGTGCTTAGTCGAAACAAAACAGAGTTGGATTTCATTTTGGCACCCGCAACACGATCCAAAAAAGTTCCATGCTAGATTCATACATCTGAAATAAAGAGAGACAAACCTTCCATTCCTGACGCACAATGTAGTGACACGTAACCTGGAAATTCCAGTCTGGAAGTTTTACACTCTCACGGTAATAATTAAACTCCTCGTGTCAAACTCTGATATCCCTGGTCTTGCTCCAAGTCACTTGTTCAGATCAAAGGTCAATATGGTTTCCTCCCTTTGATTGCTTCTGAGATCCCCTCCAGCAGTTTTGAGAAGTTAAAGTTTTAGCTCCCTCTCCTAGCTGCTTTGTTTCACGGCAGCAATACATAATACTGCAGTCAAACAGCAGCTATTTTTAAGGGACTCCAAGACAGAACAGATTCCCAATATATTCCTTGTAAGATTTATTAGCTTTTTGCCTAGAATAACATCTGAAAGGCTGCTATTCCTATAGGCAGGAAGTTGCTGCTAGAAATAGCTCTAAGGCCTAATAAGAATGTGCTTGTTTCTTGGACTGGCACAATACATCAGCAGCACTTACTTCCTATATTTAGCGGTCTTTCATTCCTGAGGAGGAACACGACAGCAGCTGGAGTAGGGGACAGTGAAACAAGACTTCTCAGGTTTTATAACCACATGAACAAAGTTCACTGCCAAGCTTCCAACTGATAAGTTGGCTGATGAAACAGGTCAGAAGTTGTGATTAATTTATAGCCATCATCCTAAAACTGGGCCTTCTAAAGGAAAAATGTGTGCATGCACAAGTGCATGTGCATCTATTCAGCATTGTCTTTGGAGAAAGCTTTGAAGAGAGAAGTCTCTCAATAAGGAGTTTTGTTAGCCAGCACAGCAGGCAGAAGTACAGGTATTTTCTTGTAGCAACAGCAGCTCCCTGGATTGCATATTTTATAAATTCATCAACATGAAGCCCTTTTCCCAACACAGCAGCTATTTATCCTGCTCTCTAACAGACAAAGATTTACTGTGAACTTATATCACTATGCTGTGTGATGGCTACAGCTTTTGACTGTACATTATCTGTCACATAGTATGTGCCCAATGTCTCCTAACCTGCTGCTGATACATAGCAGGAATTTCTCCTCTGTTCTCTGGCTAAAGGAATGTTTCTCCTGATCTACACTATTGGATCAGGAAAGCAAGGAAGGTTAATCAGATGGAACTGAGTTGCTGAACTTATTATGGTGGAGAGATTGAGAGAAACAATTTAAATATATCAGGTGCTCTCATTAAAAAAAAAATGATACTGCAGTCATCAAGCTACCACAGCTCTAAAAGAGCACTCAGGGCCCCCAGCATCCTTCCTTTGGGTAAATACCCTGTTTCCAGCTAGGTCAAGAGCTAGCTAAACAGAGTTATTGCAGCATAACAAATAAAGTGCATCTTTGTGCCACACACTACATTCAGAACAGTGTCTGACCACACATACAAACCACTTCCTGGGATTTTAATGGCGAGTGGGAACAGGTTTTTAATAAGTAACCCACCCTCAGCCAGAACAGCTAATCACTGTCATCTGAACAGAGCCAACAAGCCGCTTGCCTTCCAGGCTACCAATTCAAAAGGGACTGGGGCAGGGAGACAAAGGCCCAGTGCTAGCAAATGCTGACTGGATCTCCAAGTTATTTTTAACACCTTTTTTCCTTTTCTCTTGTAGGTTAGAGATCAATTCAGGCCTTGGTAACACTAGGCCTACCTTCCCCAGCCAAGCCACATTATAACCCAGGGTATGCTGGAGTTCTGCAGGTGCAGGAATTAAACGAACTGAGGGAGACTACTTTCACCTAGACACTTGTTTCCGGCACAGTGAAAGAATCAAGCAGAGCCCAGGAAGGAGGAGAGGCTACCAAAGAGTTAAAGTAAAGCAGAATTATTTTTGCAACAATTTAGAGATGGTGACTGGCTTTTCCACAACCCAGTATCTAGTTTAGAAAGAAAGAAACAAGCATCCTTTCCCTCCCCTCCCCCTTCTCCAGAAAGGGAGGTAAACTGGGCTGTTCTAGAATATCTGCTCCAAGCAGCAGCTCTCATAATCTGTGCCAGTTCCAGTCTCAGTTTAAAAAGACTACATATGAATCTCTCACCATATAAGCCAAGATTTTTTTAAAGCACAGATTCTTATGATTTATTAGATCATGTGTCAAATACTACTTAGTAAATGTACATGCCATAGGGAGCTAATCACCATGTTTTATGGTGGCTGTCACCCAAGTGCAGCTGGCTGGTAGGTAAACTGAAAAGTTCATACTTTCACAAGCTCCATCTATCCAGTTCTCAGTAGGTAGAGCGCTCAAAGGAAGATAAACGATGTTTCGTATTTAGAGCAATTTTAGTCAGTCTGAGACACCAACGCTGCTGCATACATTGAAAAACTGGAATCCTGGAAGAGTACAATATATCCTGGATAGCTCCTGTTCCTTGTGCCCTGTACACCTACAGGTAGTTGTAATTCCACAATGCCCCCAACTAGATAGAGGCTGCAGTCCCTTAAATGTCAATCTGACCAATGTGCATGTTACAGTAACTACCACAACACAAGTGTGCCAGTGCAGCTGGAGCTGGTTTTGGCAGTCACATAAAAATGGTTCAGGCATTCTGTATGGTGTCAAGTTCACAAGCTGAGCCATAAAGTAGACAGTGAAGAAAGAGAATGCATTATAAATGGTAGGAAGCTCAACGACTTTCAAAACCCATGATAAAGGATCAGGAAGTCAGTTATACGTACACTCAGAATTTCCATCTGCAGTGCCACTGCTGCATTTCCAGTATAAACAACAGCAGAGATGATGCCCAGCAGCCGTCTGTGAGTAGTCTAATGGCAAGGGCATAAAAAGGGGCAAAGACAGAAGAACCCATCTGCTAGAGTACTTCTAAACAAGCCAGCAGGTATACTTACTCAACCACCATCTATCACTGAATCAGCTGTTTTCCAAAAAACACTGGTGCCCACTTCAGAGCATGTCTGAACTTACCCTTTGGTAAGTCTGACTTACCCTTTTGTAATTCTATTTCCATCCAAGGATAGCCAAGCATATGATTTCAGGCAACATTTCCTTTGTCCCCTTACAGCTGGAAGCAACGGCTTTTCAGTTACCAGAGAACAGAGGATACAGAACTGCTAGCAGTGTTGGGAAACAGAAGTTTAAAGCTGTCTGTCCTTGCACCTGCTTTCAGATTCCCACTGTCATCTACGTATGGCACTGCACCTGACCTAGAAATCTGTTGTGGGGTTTGCCGGGTGGGGAAAAGAATCAAACTGACAAGCTAATACTGAGGTTCATGAGCTTTTTACCTGCAAGTTCAGATGCACCAAATGGAGCTCTACATCAAGAGAGCTCAGACACAAGGGGGAAAAAAAAAGGGAGGAAAATGTGTGGCAATGTTACAGGAAGCAGGGGCTGAAGCCCAGGGAGAGGAAGTAAGACCTGAGGAAGCCAAGTCAGTTGGCAAAACCCACTCTTCTCCTAGATGGAAGTGGAGAGGAGCGCAGGAGAGGCTGGGCATGAAGGGACACTGAGGCAGTTGTATGCAGTTTCTAGGAAGCCATTCCAAGCAGGAATCCACCAGCAAACCCTCCAGTCAGGATAACATTCTTCTTCAGAAACGTGATAACCTGGGCAGAGAAGAGAGGGAGAACAGACAGCATGCTAGAGCCAGGCACTTGCATGTGGTAAGTACCATTCCCTTCCACCAGTAGCTCCACTACATGCCACTTCACCAGACTGCATGTACTTTTACTTAGTTCAACTAATGGCCAAAATTAAT